TCCTGCGAGTTTATTTATAGGAAAAGAATCTTCTCGTTCCCTTGATAATTTTAACAAATCACTCTTCATCTATTCTAGACAATCCACAGTACAAACAGCTACAAGATTTTCTGTACATCCAAAATCAGTGCAACTACAACTGCTACAACGCCCTTGTCTGAAAAACCCTACTGTACCACACCGAGTGCAATATCATATGAAAAACATCATACTTCTCGGGCCTTGAATGCCACAAGAAATGCCTCTGCACCTCCCGCACTCTCTTCTGCATCCTAACATACCTCCTACTCGAAATCGACAAAAGTATCCTCTTCAAACTCGGCACATCCCTCTCCAAAACGAAAACCGCAAACGACTCCCAATTTAGAGTCTCGAAAAAGGGAGGGACAAAATTGTCCGATATAATAACTGGGATGCACTCGTAGAAAATAGCCTCCACCACCCGAGGGCTGTTGACCTCGTAACCTCTGGCACAAATGCAATACTTGCTCGTCTTCATGTACTGCGCGTAGCTCGTTTGACCTTTGACTTTCCGCAGTTGACCGAATATTTTCATGTCGGGGTCTTTGTTCTGCCAGTGTTTGAGCAAGACGGGACGTAAGTAGCCGTGCATGCTGCCGGCGAAAAAGGCAAGGGTTCGCCTCTGTCCAGGAGGCTTGCCGCCAAGCTGGCGGAGAGGGTTTTGTGGGGTCCGCACTAGGGTTTCAGGGAGAGAAACGTCTTTTCCCAACCGAAACCCTTCTTTAATGTCTGAATTGCATAAGGCTCGGATGCTGTTGGGCATGGTTCGCCGAGTCTCAACTGGGGCCTGGCAAAAAACCAACTGTCAAACTTTGTAAGNAAAAAAAAAAAAAAAAAAAATTAATATTGTATGTGGGGTCCAACATTACAGAATATAGTGGACTTCAGTACCAATAACATTCAAATAATATGTTGAAAGAGTATGGACCAACTACTAGTCCAAACGTAATCCTGGTTTTTGACACAAAAAATGGATAAATTCTCAGAAGTTGGAAATGTTAACAAAACATAACTCAGAGATTCCTGTTTGTTTCTGTGGTGAGAGTGCATATCGGAGCACAAAGAGGTCGAGGGCTGTATGTAAATTAATCAATTTAAAAGATAATTGGGTGCATTTTCCTAGTTAGGCTAGTTATTAAGTGGGAACTTTTGCAAATAACTCCTTCCACATACAGACAACACCAAATGTACCCCTGATAAGAGAGGGTAATTTGTTAAGGAAATACAGACTTCAAGGGGGTGGGTTTTGTAAATTGTAATACCTCACGCGGGGCATCGGTAAAGTTCTGAAAGATAACTGGGACTTAACAGTAAATTATGACAAATGGTAAGGATAATGTTTCGTAAATATCCCTGAAATGAATGCAGGAGTAGGTTAAAAAAAAAAGCAGAAAATATACCCAATCATGACAGGCAACGAGAAAATGGTCAGACCCATCTGTTCTATTCCAGAAACTGTGTTTTCTCATGATCATCTTGACATAGTCACTCAAATACTGGATCAAGTTGTCTCTACTGTGGGAATCGGGAATATATAAGGCCACCTCCAACATGCGTGAACTGAAAGGTAAGTAAAATAGGTGTGCTTTTTTTGGGTTTTTAGTGACAAATCGCTTGTTCGATTTTAGCAGCTTCATGAACCATCCTTCGGATGCGTATATTCCTTTAAGGGGAGGTTGGTGGAATATTGGTTTTTCGCCTTCAGCGTATATATAAACCTTGAGAGTTTGCTCCATTAACTCATAGCTCCTGTACAGGTCAAATTTGAAGTGTATTTGGTTAGTCGAGCGAATATCATTAATACTAATATTTTTTTCTTAAGAAAACTAAATAAGTTTCTAATGCATGACATATGAAAGCACTGTCAACAGGTCCTAGAACAATGGACACAAACAGAACTGCTCAAAGAAGCATATGGAAAAACAGAGAATGCCAAAATCTGAAGTATAGCATATAGCGGTCAACAAATTGAATTAGGCAGTTGAAATTTTGCTTACCTTTTGAACTCCGAAAAGTTTCTGTACAATTTCACATCAAATTGAGGGTCCTTTTCAACTATTGATGCATTCTCAATGAGGAACTTTGCATTTAGTAACTCCTGATCAGCTGATGAAGACCATTGAGGCTTCTGGAAACACAATACAATCCACAAGCATAAAAAATTAAGAAAGAATAAAAGAAAAAAGACATAATTTTTTCACATATCTACATTTAAGATGATAATTTGGATACAAACCCCAGAACTGTATGACACACGACTCTGGAGCAGCATATCCTTCATCTTAGATATAGGCACCACCACACGTGTACGTTCTTTTCCAATTGGTTTTCCAATGTTTTGAAGTATATTCCCAGCATCTTTTCCCGTAGATGTGACCGGGTAAGGAGCTTTTACATCCACAGTCATACTCGTTTTTGGAAGAAATGGAGATCCAAATCCAGGTGGCAGATTTTCCGGTGAATTAGCAGTCAAATTCAAATTTGGAGTTTTGTCTTTATTTTCCCCCATGACATCATAAGCACTACTTTCCGGAGCATATCCCAGTTTTTCTCCGTCTAGTAAGAAACTATCATTTGTTACGGTTGAGGTATGATATGTTCCAAAGAACTCTTTGGATCTAGATTCTTCCTCGAGATCAATATCGTTATTCAAACTATCGTCTGAATTTTCTTTGTTTTCTTGACCAAAATCATCTTTGACATTTCTTGCACCAATATCAGTATTTTCTTGATCAAAATCAAGATCAGTAGAATTTACGCTACCCAGATACGTTTGGTTTTTCAAGGTAACGGATTTCTCAGACGAGTTTCGCAAGTTGTCAAGAAGCTGTACTTGAGATTTTCCATTCGAAAATAAAGACGATAAAATATTACTATACGGGAGCTCAAAATACTGGATGAATAAAATCAACCCGAAAATCACCCCCATTAGCAACAACAATCTCCGGGTCTCAACCAGGCACACATACCGAAGTTCATTGCCCATACTGTTTGTCACAACAGATGAAGGATAGATAAGCTGCAACTAGAAAAACCTGGAATTTGTGAAAATCAAATTAAGGTGTGTCCATGGCTTCAATCTGAAGTGGCCAATCTGAACAAGACAAGCATAATAGGAAAATCTCACAAGTTTCAAAAATTCGAAAAACAGGCAGCAAATCTAAAACGAGGGCAAATTTAAGTATTATTATTCAACTATCAAATTGAGGGAAGCTTCTAAGATACCGCAGTTTGTAATCAGCCAAAATTCAAGATGGCATATAGACGCATAGATAATATTAGTATATGAACAGCCAAAAAGGACATACAAGACAATCGATCACCAGGGTTCATCACCAAATCAAATAGCCGATTAGTCAACTAGAACAATCAATAGGACACAAAAGAAAGGGCCAAAAGGCACTCATTATTGAGCATAAATTTAAAACCACAAAATATAAACCCTATGCAGAGAAAACGAATACTGACAATCAGCAAAGAATACCTCTGTAATGGGATACCTCTGTCACAATTGAAATGGAAAATCAACTCATCAATTTCTGGCGGCTCCGGTAATTTCTTTAACTTCCTCTTCTTCTCCTTTTCTTTTCCCAAATCCCAAGTACAATGAATGAATTGAGATTTCACGTGCCTGAGCGCCGCCCCCGGGAAAGAAGAACAAAAATAGCAATAATTCGAAATTTTTCTCGTCTCTGTGTCGTGGTTTTCTTGCTGGTGGACGGCTATGTCCCACTGTCATCTACAAATAATCTAGTTCGATTATAGGCCTAATTAGTAATTACTCTAAAAATACTTTCTCCCTACTTTTGAAACACTAGTATCCTATCCTCACCCCTTTCCACGGGACAACATATTACTGTTCAAATTGTATAAGAGAAAAAATTTAATCCAGCATGTATTATATTTTATGTTGAATAAATATTTTTTTTATTTTGCAACTTGATTAATGTAATTGATATATATACTATTCAACATAGTCAAGTTGCTTGTTGGTTGGTCGAAAACTTTTTGAATAAAAATTCAACCATGTCGGAGACAAGATGCCCAACCTTAAACACTCAGGTTATCCGCGTGAGACCTGGCCTTCAATACTTAGTTGTCCTCGTGAGACCATCAATACTCAGGTTGTCTGCGTGAGGCCCAACCATCACAAACTCAGGCTGTCCACAAGAGACCCGACCTTCAATACTCAGATTGTCCGTGTGAGACCTAGCCATCACAAAATAAGGTTGTCCGCGTGAGACCCTACCATCACAAACTCAGGTTGTCCACCAGAGGTCTGACCTTCAACATTTAGGTTGTCCACGTGAGACCTGACCAACACAGGCTGCCCACAAGAGGCCCAACCTTCAATACTCAGACTGCTCGCTTGAGGCCCAACACACTCAAGCTGCCATGTGAGGCCCGACCATCAGTATGCAAGTTATTTGCATGAGACTCAACCACAAAGAATTCATGCTTCCCACATGGGGGCTCGACCTTCAAAAACTCAGGTCACCCACACGAGGCCCGACCATTAAAAATCAGGCTGCCCAAATAAGGTCAGTCCATAAAAGAACTCAAGCTTGCCATCAAAAGGCAATAAGCCGATCGTTTCCTGGTGGCGACATACCCTGACAGAAAATTTTTATTATCGCCGACCTACAGCCTCAATAAATCCTACTGCTTGTATAACGCGAATGCCAAGACATGGCCACACTATGAACGAAAGATATTTAACACGACATTTTTAAGAGAAAATCACCGATTTACTTGGCTACTATTTATTAATATATACATCTGCAAGAACCGAACATGTTCCACTTTTCCTGGATATACACTCTTTCAACCGTAATCACGGACATTTTGTCAATCAAACCTTTCCAAAGGCCATATATAGGTCGAAACTTCAACACATTTTTTTACTAAGCCTTGCAACAGCTAAACATAAATAAAAGGCCTTACATCGGCCGAAAAAAAATCCAAACTATTTTTCAAAAACAAATTACTACAGGAAATTCAACGATAAATAGAATCCTTGCCGCTGCTAGAGGAGCCTCCCTGGCCAACCGACATCTTCTCTCTCGATGGAGTTGCACCCTCTAAAGATGTCTATTGCACCATTGTTGAGCTAAGATCAAACTGAGAGATGGGCCTCGTCTACACCGGAAGATCGACTCGTTCATTAAGCATGCCTCAGCATCTTTATCTGGCTCGTTGTCTTCATCTGAGGTCAACTCTAGAACATTCTTCTTTCAGGCGCAGACGCGCTTGATGATGTTTAAGTCTTGGCCTTGCTCTAGAGTCTTCAACACACACCAAATGGCGCCTGCTCTCTCTCAGCCTCTTCAAGAAATCCAGTCTCACCATTAGACCCTTTGCTCGAATCCTTGTCAATCTTGATCCCTTATTCTCACCTAACACATAACCTTTGGCATGACCTATCTCTTTCTCTTCTTGGAAGCCAACATCTCCCCCTTAAGCTAAGACAATCTTTAGGCCCTTCTCGGAGGACGCGACCTTCCTATCATTTTTTTTAGCTTCGCCTCTCTCACACTCAAGCTCCTCTTGGACTTCAGACAACATCTTATTCAGCAATCTGCCTTAACGACGTGATTGTTCTTCAAACTATCGATCTCTTGCCTCAACACAACAAGACGGTGTGCATGTCTACCGTCACCCTCTTCCAGACGCACTTCAAGACTATCCTTCTCGACAGTCAGCATGGCATAATCATCAACACGTCCCGCTCACCTCATCAAGATGAGCCGCCAACACATTTTCACAATCTCGGCATTTGACATGCTCCACCTTGAGCTTCTTGAGTTTCTTTAGTTTGTAGATAGTCCTCTAAGCCTTGCCGGTCCTTTACACCATCGACCCCAAATCCACTGCCATATGGCCTATCAACCACTAGCATGTCTATGTTGGCGACATCGATGACACCAAATTTTGCAGTCCTCTGAGTCTAAACCATCATGGGAAAAATCACTGCTTGCACTACTCCCTACGACACCTTGTGAGGGTTTAGGATCTGAGGAGTATTCGACGAGATGAAGCTATAATATCACTCATGGATGAGGTTCTTTAGCTCCTTTGCTGCATCCAAACATCAAGGATTGCGGGGAAGGTATCCACCGAACAACCCTCGTGTGGTTGATCCCTCAATCGTTCCTTTAGGCTCATGACCATACTGGAAATCTCCTTCATGTGAATCGTGGCGGTCAACATCCTGCTGACCCTGGCGATCTTTTATCAAAATTTTTGGATGATCTTCTGGCAGACCTGACAATCCTCTTGAATATTCTTGGCGATCATCTCCCTACGAGCCATGACGGGTCTCTTCTGGCACATCCATACGATCTCCTTCATGTGAAACTTGTTGATCCTCCACGACCACCTCTCCCGCTGGCTCTGGCTCTCCCTGCACTAGCTCTTTATCAGTCTGTTGGGATCTGTGAGGATCAAGATAATATGCAAGTCACGGATTATCTACGAATTAAACCCTATGCGCAGCGGAACTAGAAGCAAGGGTTCAAAGCGTACCATTTTTTAATTTTTCTGGACTCAACGGATCGTTCCCTAATTGTATTGGACTATCCTGGACTTGTCGCGGCCTCATCGGAACCTCCAGAACCCACCGGAATGCAGCTGGACCGGTTCTGGACCGAGTTGAACCGCGTGGACCAAACTGGAGCAGTCTGGGAACCCGCTGGGCCAATCTGGGAGCTGGAGTCATTTGGGCCATTGCTGGATGCATTTGGGCCATGGAGAAGTGGGCTGGAGAAAGCCTGACGGGCGCGGGCTGGCAGCAGTCAGGAGCTCGGGCTGAGACGCGGGATGGCTTCGGGCCTCGCGCGGGCAGGAGCATAGAGACAGTGTGGGTAGCACGCGAGTCGACATCCCCCGTCCCTTTTCCTTCCCTTGGGCTCGCGCGTGTGGGCTTCTCGCGATGCTGGACTGGGTGGACCTCGTTCCTGCTGGGCCGCACGCACGTGATGGACTAAAGACATCTGGGTCTCGCGGACTGGACCTGTTTGCTAGAATCCTAGGTTGCGCGCGACTCGACTGCCAGGTAAGCTGGGCCACGCGTGGAAGTTTGCCAGGACTGCTTGGTGCCGCGCGTGACGGCGCGTGGGCCACCGACACGGCGGCGGTCGTTCGCCGAAATTACGCCGGTCGTTGTGGGATGGTCGCCGATCACTCCCAACATGTCCGATTGGCACAGATCTGTCTTTTCGTGAAGAACGGACAACCCCGCGAATTACAGAAACATTACAGGGTCGAATATATATATATATATATATTACGGGGTTGGATATATATATATATATATATATATATATCTCGACAACCTCAGATCTTCTGTTGTATGACCCGATATCTCATCCGATCATCTTGGTGGGCGATAGATCGGAGATATCTCTACTAGGATTACTTGAAGAAGAAGAAGAAGAAGAAGAAGAAGAAGAAGAAGAAGAAGAAGAAGAAGAAGAAGAGAACACAAGAGAGAGAAAAGAGAACACCAAGGGGGCGTGAACCTCATTCCCACGTTAATAGGCGTGTATCTGCTATTTTTTTCTTAATCCTAAGGGATGTGATGTATTTATAGGCTACAACAGGGACCCTAAAGAAGCATTAAATTGGGTTTCTCCTATTTGGGTTAGACTATTGGCCAAGCCTACCAAACCCAAATAGGAATAATACATCCATTCCACGATAGTAGTATTATTGAATAAACTCCCAATTTAATTCTCGAATTATATTCGAGTCTCCAATAATAATTACTCAATTTACCTTCCCGTATTTAAGATATAATGTCCATCAATTAATTTAATTACTGACAATTAAATCAATCGACATCTATAACGAGACTAGTACCACTCATCACATTCTTATTATGTCGGAATAAATTCCATTGGCCAGATTTAACATAATAATCCTTCATGACCTCATCTCGGGGACATCATCAAACTAACGCACACGGTGGCTGTAGATATTCTAACAGCACATCATACATACAATAATATTACCCAAAACATTAAGTATATTGATCCAGTAAACTGAATCTCACCCATGTGAATCAAAGTAATATTAATTGTATGCACATGCCTGTTTATATCTTATGGGTTAAGAGTACACAGTAATTAATCGAGGCCTAGTTCGTTTACGACGATCAGTATAAAACGAACTTTTCCTCTTTGGGATCCGTTCAATACACAATGTGTACTAGTGTAACTAATCAGTCAAGACCAACTGTATGGTTAACACTACAACCGTTCGGATGGGGTGTTCATTTCCATCTAAGTTGTGAACCACAAATTCTTGTTTCGCAAGTAACTGATAGAATGATCTTCTGTTCGCCCGCTAACGACCCATTCAATCTAAGTGCGAAACAACAGAACATAGACTGTTTAATTAAACATGATTCTCATTCAAACGGGTTAAGTGTAAATACATCTAAAGCCAAGCTTTCAGTATATATACCAACACAGTCTCCATTTCAACCATCACAAGAGGGGTGGAAGGGTGATCGCGACCCAATGACTCTTGTTTCTGTCACTTCATTTTGCTTATCGATCTACTCGGTGATCCTACTGACCGACGCTTCTTGCTTTCGCAAACTTATCCTCGACAGAGACCTCACTTCAACCTCGATAGGGATCGGCGATTCATCAACCCCCGGTGATCTCTCCTTACTTGAGGACCCCTTACACTTCTTCTTCAACAATTTATTTTTCAAATTTTCAACCTTCTTCTTGGACTTCACTCTCGACATAAAGTGCTCCCCCAATTCACCTGTTTTTGGTAAAACATTACTGATCGGCAAAAGGTTGCCACACTTGATAAAAAAGACATAAATCCCCTTAATGTACACATATGTTGCAAAAACTATAAAATTACGCCGATTTAGTTACCTGGCTCCATCGGAGTGTTGTCGAAATGCGGATGAAGTTTGGAATTGATCAACCCTTCATTTCACACAAATTGCGGCAACTCCTTTCAAGGATCATCAAGGCCAATATGTCTCTCAACTTCTTAGAAAAAACTGCGTCCACAAGCGGGGCAATCTTATTATCCGCTGTGCTGGGAAAAATTGTTGTATGAATTTTGGATTAATATAATGATCGATAAACAGTATAATAGAAGAATAATGATACTTTCACATCTTTTACACAAAGAAGTTTGGTATGTGTTGCTGCCGACCCGACAATCAGTGCCCTTTCCACTCCCCTGCAACCTAAAACCATTCTGGCTTACAACCGTGTCATGACTCGGGGATATGTTTCACTAAATTGGCGTATTTGCTATCACGCGAATGAAGATGAAATTACCCAGGCCCCTCTTTCGTTGTTCTCTATACATAGATGGAATCAAACTCCCTCGTTGTCGGAGTCGACTATCCTTTTTTGACAAACATCACTACCAAGGAGCACAAACGGTATATTGCTTTCGGATGAACATGCATAATGCCGATTCCCCACTCATTCATATAGTAAGTGATCACGGGGGACAAAGAGAACCTCAACCCTGAACAAATTGACTCTTTATGCACCACCACGCTCCCCTTCGGGAGATAGTGAACTCGCTCACCTTCATATGGGATAAACATTTTGACGATCCGCAGAATCTCATATTTTTCACGCAACTTTAATAAATCAGAATCCCTCATGGTGCTCGCTTGCTTACAGATCTCCATATCGCTTTCCTCTGATGGCTCTTGCATCGGTGAGCGGCGCTAGCAGCCTTCCGGTTTCAGGATTTGCCCTTCGTGACCTACTCTGGACTTTCTTCGTCCCCGATCACTCGACAACGACATATTTGCCAACCAAAAAATGAGAAAAAGGGAGAGAAAGGATTATGATGAGATTTTCAAAAAATTGAAATTATATGTAACTCGAAAAAGGCGAGATCTTATTTTTATACGTGGCTTTCCGTTGAATAGTCACCCGCAATTTGCCCCGTGCCGTGGCTATTGGCTGCCGTTGCTCGCCCAGGTCTGCGGCGCGTTATGCAAGTGGTCGCCCCATTGCTTTGATATGAGCTCGTCGAGCTCAATTATAAACATTTTTGAATTGTCGTCCCTCATCCGCATCAGACATCTACAACATGTTCACTTAAAAAATCTCGTTATTATTCTTTACAGACAAAGTTGAATAGTCATTATACTCTTAGATGAGTCTTAATTCGATATGCTCGTATGGAGTAGGGGAGTAGATGATGTGGCACCAAAATTTATCCACTTCGATCGTGACTTGTTCTGAAATCTACATATTAAATAAATTAAACTAGCACGAAGATCAACTAATTATCTTTATAATATAATATTTTTACTTAAATAAATCATATCCTATTGATTTACATAAAACTCTTGATTTTATAAAATACAAAAATTCTATTGAGCCATCAGATTGTTTTTTATGGAGTCATCCACCACTTAATGTATTGTCACTTGTCCAAATTGTATTTATTGTAGAACACGTGCCAATACATTATTGGTGAATAAGTGTGGATGGCTCCATAAATCGAGCCATCTGATGGCTCCATAGCAAAACTATTTTAGAATATTTGAGTTATTGATTCGTTTCTTATCAAATAAGACACCAATTCTTTACAAATATGGGATTCGAGTTCACTATTTATACCTCTTACCTACGAAATATTATTGATTCGAATTGACTTTTTTTATTTTTTTTTTGTCAAACAATAGATAACATAAAAACCTCCAAAAGATTACAACCGATTGCCCACTGGCAATATTTAACACCTTTGCATTTAACACACTAAATGCAAAGGAAAAGAAGGCTCCTACAAGGGAATCCGTCCCGAGCCAGACAAACTAGACTAAACACAGAACACACAACACTTTCCCCAAAAGGAAAACAAAGCCACTCCTCAGGTGGGAGACAAAGGCACTCCCCAAGGGAGACCAAAACACAACAACAAAAACACAAAAACACACAACAAACAAAAACACTTAACAACACAAACCAAACACCAAAAAGAACACAGAAATAAACAAAAAAAGCCCTCCCCACAGCAGATGAACCAAGTCGAACAAACACTACGCCGACACCCACGGGCAGCCACCCATACAGACAGAGACCTGGTCCCTGTCACGAATGCAAAAACTGCAGAATAAACGCCTAATTAGACTCGAGGCATAAAACCTTGCCTGCCCAGGTAGACAACCCGAGACCTGCAACTGGAGATCAACAACAAGCTCCACC